AGTTTTAGGAAATTGGAGAGTAAAAAGCCACCTATCTGAACTTTTTGGAAACTGGCATGAAATACATGAGTTTCATATAGATTTTCTGGTTCCTGGCCTCTGTTTGATGTTGATATAGCAAAACACTACTGTCAGCTTGTCCTCAAAGTTTCTGTGAATACTCCTCTAGCTTTGGCAGATCTACTGCATGAGAAGTGCTTTACCTGTGGTCTGAAAGACTTCTTGCTCTGGGGGGAAAACCACTTGTCACAATGGTACTAGGCTTATACTGGTTGAGAGAGGAAAAAATAAGTGCACGTGTGATTCTTCTGTACCTTCCAGTTGGTTTCAGGAGCTTGGGGAGAACAGTTTCAGTTACTTGTCATATGAAATGAAGGGGAGTACATCATGATATGATGATATTTCTTGTCTTTATGTATCACTTAATGTAGCATTTATTATAATTTTTTCTTTCATTATGTCACATGTCATATCAGGACAATATTTTCATGATGTTTTGGTTTAACTCAGAAAAAGAATTTTAAAGCTGTTACCATAGTCCAAAGTTTCTCATCTTACCTTCAGAAGTAACTTTACAAGGCTAAGTTTCATTGCAAGTCAATGAATCACACATTCCTGTGTGCTGCGGCCCTTTTGAAAACAAGGTTTGAGACATTTTGTGCTTCATTCTTTAAGAAATGTTATCCAGTATGAAAGGCTGAGGTCTGAGAGGGGAAGGAGTCTGAATCTTCAGGTCTTCTGAAGCCAAATTTGGCTTTGTAAGGAAACTCTGTATGTGTGTTTGAGAGGAAAAGAACAGATTGGACTTTTTTTATTAAACTTTTTTTTAATTATTTAAGGGAATGGATGGGTGCAAGTTGGGGATTTTAGGGAGGTTTTGTTGGAAGAATTATTTGTGGAATGAAAAAGAGGTACACAAAAAAAGGTTCAGCCCAGGTAATTTACAGCCCGTGCCATTTGAAGGGACTGCCTGGGGTGGTGGTGGGGGAACCCCACATAAATCCTGAGGAATACCCAATTTTTAAGAGGAAATGAGACAAATGAGACCAGTTACACTGGTGGTTTGTTTCATCCCCTTCCTGAGTACCCCTTCTCTTGGCTTGTCTGAGACAGCTCTAAATTTAGAAAATATATCAAAACACAACATTTCTGAAGGAGCCCGCAGGCATTTAAAGATGTCTGTGTGGAAGCTTCAATGTTGTTTCAGCAGCCAGGGAGGACTGCAGTTGCTTGTGCTGGAAGCTGGAAGACTGCCACTCTGCTTCCTTTGTTCAGCTTCCTTTGCTGCATAAAGCACAGAAGACGGCAACCAACACTATCGTTAGTGTTAAAAAGTAATTATGGAGGTGACAGTTTCAACTTCAAGTCTTACCACCCTTGCACTCACCAGTCCAAATGCCTGCAAGCACTGCAGTCTCCAAATCCACTAGTTTCCTTGCACCCCCTGCCATTGTGCAGTTTCCTCCTCACTGTGAGAAGCACCTCACCAGGAAAAGTAAGGGGTTAATGATAGTGAAGACAAAGGGAAAAGGAGATAAAGGTGTTTGCTCTCCCCTGTTACTGTTTAAAGTTTGATATGATGTCTTAAATATTCTACTCCCCATGCCACGTGCCCGTGTCACTGTTCAAACTGACAGTGTCGTGTCTCCCCTCATCCAGGGTGTTCAGCTGTTGTTTATATTGTTATTATTGTTAGTTTAATAAAATTATTTTCTAATCCTGTTTTTTTTTTCTCCTCACTGCCCCAAAAGAAATAACCTGATATAACCTAAAAATTCCCTAGTTTATATGTGTTAGAACTCTTGGTATTTTGTCAATTAACCATTTTGGGAAATCATATGCAGCTTTGTATTTCCTAGCAGGGTTTGATTTTTGGACAAAGCTGAAGAAAACTCCTAGGAGTAAGGTGGAGAAACATTCTTTATATAGGTGTGTCTTCCTAAGTGATGAGTAATGAAATGGTTTGGTCCACGTTCCTATTCCCTAATGCCTCTGATTGTTACAACTGCTTTAGCCTTTCTAAACAAGTGGTTTCATAGGAGCGACTCTCCCCTTCTGCACAGGGCTCGCTGTAGCATAATGAGATTTTCTGACTTCCTCTTGACTTCATTGCAAGCTTCTAACAGGCTGTTTTGCAACTCAGTTTCTTCCAGTGACTTTGCGTGTCGAGCATTGTCAGAAACAAAATCATACTCTACCAGAAAACCTGTCTAGCATCCATCATCAGAGAACAGCTTGCTTGCTCCTAATAGTTTTGTTTGTCTGTTGGAATATTATAAACAAAGATAGCAGAGATAAGTCTAACCATAACTTTGCTCTTCTCATCACAAACTTACCAGTGCTGCTTAGAACCATCTGATACCACCTTCTTGCCCCAAACCCAGCTAAGGAATTTGAAATTAGCCTTGTGGTGTTTGGGTTGGTTTTTTTAAATAACAAAATTTTGAGGCATTTAACCATCTGCTTTTTTTCTGCATTTGTGAGGCTGATAAAGTTGTTTATAATAGAGTTTCAGGGAATTTTAAAAGCAGTTGCATGTAGCTAATTTTGTTTCTTTCCCTGTTTAATAACATTTTCTGTGATAAGTACACTGATTAAGTCTTTTAATACTAGTTGTTGCCTAAGCTATTTCTGTATTTTGTTCTGTTGATATTTTGTTGGAATTGAAATTACAAACACACTTTTGGCAAATACTGTCCATTTTTAGGTAAGTAGTAAATAAATTTCAGCTCCTATTCTTGTAGATTAATGGTAATATATCCTTGTCCATGAGGAAAAAACACAAACTTAGTTATGCTGTGTTTTAAACAAAATACTTGAATGGTGATCTGTAGAGATGTGGCCAGCCAACAGCCTCATGAAGTACGTGCATAGTGTCTAGGAGATCCTCTACTCAGTAAGCCACTTCAAACATGTTACTTAGTAGTCTCTTGGATGGTGACAGGAATACACAATTGGGGGGAAAAAAAAAAAAAAGGAGGGGTTCTGAAAAAGGATATGTTGTGATCCCATCATGGAGAATTGAAGTGATGGTCTAGTACTGAGCAAGACAACTGCCAGAGGTATCTAAGAGGGGAAAGCATACTCTTTTTACTCAGAACTGCTGTCTTCACACACTGTAGTAGTTCATGAAGAATGTGAAATCCTGAACAAAGTTCTAACATTGCTTATACATCCTAAGCGTATAGAATAGGCTGCCAGTGTTCCCTGTGAAAGTAGACTTCTAAGCTAAACACACTTGTCAGTTGTGTGAAAAGCTGATATCCTAATGTTGTTCACTGCTTGATACTTCATTTAAACTGAATTGATTGGCATCATTTACACTGTTGAAAGTCCTACTTTGTGCCTTCCCTGCAAGGAGAGCCACTCGCAGATTGGCAAATTTTGGTGAAACTCCCTCACAGGTGAGCTATTACTCGTTGGATTACCCCAGCTGCCTGCTCCAGGGATGCTGCTGAAATAATTCCTAGGACTTTCGAGCCCTTATGTGTGTGCTCTGGGTAACTGACCTCTGTAACTACAGCTTTCTGTGTAGCGCTGATGATAGTGAAGGTGGCCAGCAGAATCATACGGCTTCTACAGCATTCCTGTTAAGAGCTACTGTAGTGTACCAAATGCATTGTTTCTTGTCTTTGTATCAAATTAACTAGATGACAAGTATATCCTGCTACCTTTATTTATTTCATTGCATCCTCCCTTCTGAAATACTCAGTAGAATCTGTAAAACAAAAATGATCTGATACATGTACTTTAAAGAGCAAACATTGGTTGGTTGCACATATAAAGTACTGCTCTGTACTTTAGGTAAACATGGATTGTTCCTTCGTTCGTATGAGATTGTACGGAAAAGAAGTCCTAGCATCGGTGATTATTTGAAAATAAAATTGAGGTGTTTTTTAGCTGTAATTGCCCACATGTTCTAATCTGAAAAATATCAACTATCTACTTGGAATTGGCATATAATTGCTTTAATTAGTATTGAATGTAATTATTTGAAAAAGAGGGGCAAGCACCACAAAAGTGTTCATGAGTTGCATAAAATATCATAAATGAATTTGTCATACTCATCTTGATGCTGGCATTTTAAATCCTGGCTTAACTTTGTTTTTTCTCAGAGCAATGGTAACGTTCTAGCTAATTTCAGAGATAATCCAGTACTAAGTGCTTTGATTTTCTTTTTTTTTTTTCCTTCCTCCTTTGACTGGACTACTGTGAGAGCAGAGAAGGAGGAAGGGCACTGGTGGAAGATCTGAACAGAATGGAAAGAAGTGGTGGGGATATCTTTATGGTTGAAAAATAAAAATTTCTGTATATTACAAAATGTTGGGGTTTTTTGTCTGCAAAATGGTGGTAAAGAATAAAATTCTAAAATAATGTTATGAATAAAAAATTAAGAGTCTAAGAGTGGTTTTCGGTGAAGAAAATACAGAATTTACTGTACAGTCTGATGTATTCAGTGCAATGAAGTAGTTGATATAGAAGGCAATTTTTTCAGTATTGAATCCTTGGATGAAGAGGAGTCTTTATATTGTGATTTTATTCCCCCCCCCCCCAATGTCAAGCCCATGTGAAGATGAAAGCATAGCTTGAAATAATCTGACGGCCTAAATGACACAAAACAGGGCAGTGCAAATGTGAACTGAATGTTTTTATGGAGTCCTGTAGTCAGCATTCATTTTAAAGCTTTATTTCCAACCTATTTGTGTGTAATATTTGTCTTCATGTATACATATAATACAATCTGCTCTGTGTCTCCAAAATCTCAGTGAGGAGACTTCTACAGAAAGCTTTAAAATGTCTCTCTGTATTAAGTACCACTGGGCATTTGAACATTAATCTCAATTCTGCAATTTCTTCCTCAGCAAAGCACATCTCCCTTTTACTTCTCTGAATTATTTCAAAATCCTCAAAATCTTTTACATAGTCTTTAATATGAAAATAATGAGCTAACTTCAGATATCATAATGGACTTTCCTGTTTTCTTATGTATGTTGCTCTGCAGGTTAAAGTGGGGTGAAAAAAAACCAAACCCAGAAACACTGTTGCCTGGATAGATTTTTCAACATGAATCGTGCTTTTAGCAGAAAGAAAGGTAAGTGATTTAGCTTATGTTCCATGGGAGACATAAATATCCTGTATAAATTCTTTAGAATATCAGGAATTATATGAGGAAGTATTTATGAATAATTGCATCTCATTAACTATGTAGAAATGGGCAGCCTTCTATAAGAAGTACAGAGCAAAGCATTCTTGACTGATAGTTACAGAGCTTTCTGGACTGTAAGCCTTATGTTAAATGTCATAATATTTTCTCTATTGGGGGGGGGTGTGTGTGTATATATATGTATGAAATACACACATTTTTTTCTCTGCACACCAAAGGATGTGCTGGAGGATTTTAGAACTGCTAAAGAGATAGTGACTTGTATTTATTATCTATATTCATTGGGTTGTTATTCTTGGAAAAGCTATTTTAGAAAACCATATTTAATATACTTGAAATATCTCATGCAGCAGAATATCTCTTAAATCTAAGAAGCTATTCTGAATTTGTAGCAATCTGAAATGGTATGCTTTCCAAAAAAAAATTAAATCACTGAATATTTAGAGTTATGTACATTGCTCTTCTGGCTTGCTTATTCTTTTTTCATGGTCTGTTTATGATTAAACATAAGTTTTAGATGGAGCATTAGAGATGCAGCTTTTTTACTGACAGCTTTGTTGCTATTTTCCCCCTTTGTAATGTAGAAAATATTCAGTAGGTCTAATTTCTTTATTTTTTTCATGTTTTCTTTTGAAGATTCTCAAGTGTGACAAACACTGAGCCAGAGCCCCTGCTTTACTACCTAGGTGTAAACTCAATTGGAGTAAGCGTATATGTTTTGTTTATGTAACAAGAATTTCTGCTTTGGTATCAATATCAAAGCTGGAAATAAGAGAGATCTGCCGTACCTTATACCAACATGAAGTGGTAGCATCACTGCCTCCTTCTGTGCCTAGTACATTTATTTGTTAAAGCCAGATAAATCGGCATAATGTAAGTAGTCCAGAACATCAGCACACATAGCTTGATCGCAAGAGGAAGGTACGCTTGTTCACAAAGGCTACAAAACCCGATGAAAGATAGTTTGATAACCAGTAGCACGATAGATGCTGAGGAAATAAGCTTAAATCCATAGCTCACAGTGATCTTAAGTGCTGATGTATTTTGTTGTGCCAATATTTATAACACCTCTGTCAAGAGATCTGTACTTACCTGCTGCTTGATAGTTTTGCCTAGCTTCTTCCAAATAATTTGAGACCATTTCAGTATTCTTTAATTGTGATTTATTACAGCTGGGGAAGAAGCTTGGGTTTCATAGGTTTTGTTTTGTCTAGGTGACCATATAATTTTTTTCCTTTTTTTCTCATGACTTCTGATACTATTTGAAACTCAACCAGCTGTGTTTCAGAAACAGACCAGTTGTGTTTTATGGGATATCTTCCTCGGTGTTTTCACTTGTACCCAGAGCTCTAAAATGCTCTATCACTAATTCTCATTGCCCTTACCAGTGTCTGCATCTTGCCTTTATAGTCAAATTATGAAGTTGTATCCTCAGGTATCTGGGATCATTGGAGGGGTTCATTCCTTTCTGTTTTCACTATTTCTTCATAAGAAAACTCTTACTGACCTCACTTAAATTCTTGGAATTTCAGTGTATTCAAGGGCATTTGCTGTGTTCTTCAGTTGATTTTGTGTGCTATTCTCTTTATCCCAACAAGAAAAAAGTATCATAAAAGAAGCTGTCAGGCACAATGAAGTGCTATTATTGTGGATTCTTAACAATGATTCAGAACTTGAGCAACCAGAACAACTAAATACTGTCATCCGTTTATTTTACTCCTAGTAATGCACAATACATTTCCATTCTTGTATCCTAGGAGAAACACAAATTTCAGTTAAGCAATTGTCAATAATACGTGAAAATTACATATTTTTCGTGCCAGCTGAAGTTCAGAAAAGCTTGGCTGTATCAGCATTCGTGTCTAATAACAGCATTTAAGAACAAGTTCAAAAGGTTCAACTGCTGAACCTCCTTTATTGTATTTCCTGATTTTACTCCTCGACCTCAGAGATACAATTTCTATGCCCGTGTTTGGTGGTGGTGTTTGTGGGTTTCTTCTGTTCACAAGAGCATGGATATTTTGAGGAGTTAACTGCATGAGTGCCGTGACTTCTGTAGCAGTTCTCTCTAAATCCAAATTAGTCTCCCGGTGGCTGTGCTGGTAGGGTTTGTGCTAGTAACAAGTTTCCATCAGTCTGTTACCTTGGAGCTGCATAAACAAGTAAGTAGGACTTTGAGGGGAATTTAAGCAGATCTAAGTGGTACTTTCACAATAGCCAAAAATAATTGGAATTGTGCAGATTTGTAGAATGTTTCCCCTAATCCTCATTGTCACAGTCACTCTATACTAGTTTTTTAACATGATGCACATAGACAAAGTAGTAGTTAGTGCCATAGCTCCTTATCTTCTTGAACCAAGTAAGTTGGTGACTAGAATGACTCGGACTGTGCTGTACTCATGGAAAAGCTCAGTTTGTGCTCCATCACCTGATTCAAACAGCAGAAATTTCCTTCTAAGTGTTCAGAAAATTGTTTCAGCCTTGACACATGTTGATAGATGAAGCAAGAAGACAAGCACTAAAGTCAAGGTTTCTTGCTTTCCCACCTCTCCCCATTGGAAGCTGAATAGCAAGCTGGACTTTCACAAAAGAGTTACAAAGTAAATGTGAGTCGCTAGGAGAAAAAAAGAAGGGGAGTTCTTTTTTCTATTAGCCCTGATTCTTTAAAGACAAAGCGCTTCACATAGATATGATGTGTGACGTGTTTATGCATATCGAGACAGTCTGTGTTATGGGAAAAGCAGGTTTGTCCTAAATCAAAGCAATGCTCTTTAGAGCACAGACTCCCATTTTCAATATTACCAGTATTTCATTTTGCAGCAGAATTTTGTACTACATATATGATATCTGAAGCAAGTACTCACTGTAAGTTTATTTTTGAGGGCCATGGTTTGGGCATGAAACAGCCACTTCAACTGACAAGGTGTGCTGAGTGCTCTGCCCTTAAAACCAACTAGTACGGTCATTGCCTATCTGATGCCCTGAGATTTAGTGCAAACAACAACTTCTAACCTGGATAGTTTACGTTTGTGTTTTAATTGTAATTGTTTTTATTTGTCTGATAGTCATTTTAGTTGAAGGCTTAATTGATATGCTTAAATCTCAAATTGAATAAAATCAAGCTGTTCATCTTTCATCCTAATAATGACAATGAAAAATATAAGAAAATGTGAAGTTTAAAAAAAAAATCAGCTAGTTTCAGGAAGTACTTACACAATTAATTATAAATAAATGGAATCGTTTAGCAGTCCCAGTGGTAATATCTATTCTCAACAGTTAGCCATGAGCTTGTATAACAGGGAAACAAACTTTATGAAATAATATTGACCAAAAAAAGTTAATTTCTGGTTTAAAGCTGATACCAGTACCTGCTGAAGTTGCATCTTTTAATATGAAAAAAATTTACTACCTGTTCAAAGTAAAATAGCCTTTCTCTTGACTTTAGTACAGGTTGGTTGGACTACCACTTACATGTGTTATGAAGAAAGTTCTTTGTTTTAGAAATATTATGACTGTACAAACTGTACAAAAACATATATTCTGTTTTCCATTGATCAATGAGTGCAGTATACTCTACTGAACTAGTTTTTGTAGATTATCTTTAAGTATTGCTTTCCTTCTCCCACAGAAACAAACTGAAGAACAACGTTATGTATGTTCTTGCTGCTTTGATATTATGACAAAGATTGTGAAAACATTTATGTATCTATCACAGTATCAGGAGCTTGCTTTTTTATGTGATCCAGGTTTGGGTCATGGTTTCTGAAGAGTTCATTTAATTTTTCCTTTGAAGTCAGGTGTGGTAGCATGCTTGCTTTGAAATGTGGTAGTGTGAAAAGTCTGTAGTGCAGATCGAAGTCTGTCCGTCTTGAAATATGTTTGCATCTTGATAAAGTCAATGTCTCTCAAGTAGCTTAGGGATATTAATGTAATTCTCCTGTAAGAGGTCTTTGTAAGTGCTATATTTTCATGTAAATTTTCCTCATTATTAGTTGTCATGGTTTGACTCCAGTGGGTAACTGAGCACCGTGCAGCCGCTCACTCGGAGGAGAATGGAAAAAAAAACTTGTGGGTTGGGATAAAGACAGTTTAATAGGATAACAAAGGAAGAGAATAATAGTAATTATAATAATGATAATAAAACAAGTGATGCAAAATGGAATTGTTCAACACATCCAAAAGGAAAAGAAAACCAATGTGATGCCCAGTCTGTTTCTGAGCAGCGATCCCGCCTCCCGGCTGGCTTCCCCAGTTACGTACAAGCATGATGTTCTATGGCAGGGAATATCTCGTTGGGCAGTCAGGGTCAGCTGTCCTGGCTGTGCTCTCCAGCTTTTTGTGCACCTGGCTGGCATGAGAGGCTGAAAAGTCCTTGACTTAGTGTAGGCACCACAACTACCCAGTGACAACTCAAAACATCAGTGTGTTATCAACGTTATTCTCATCCTAAATCAAAACCGCAGCACTGTACCAGCTAGTAGCAAGAAAATTAACTCAGCAAGAAAATTAACTCCGTCTCAGCTGAAACCAGGACATTAGCATATTGGTATCTAAACTGAATTAACTATTTGTCCTTAATATATATATATATATATATGATTGTGTGTACAGGTAATGTGTGTGCGCAAAACAGAAAGCATTAACTATGGGGTGTTTGGTTTGGTTATTCTTTTAGTGAATGGAGGTGCCTCTCCCAAATGAATCTGGCACGTTTTACAAACAAAGCTGTTACTTATATGCACCAGTTGTTATACTAAACAAAAATTTACTAGTATTTGTTGGCTTTTGCCTCATCAGAAATGTGAAAGAAAACTACTGTTCCTCCTAGACAGAGGCATTTCTAAATATGGAATGACTATAATCCAAACCTTCTGGGAGTAAAGGGGTGAAACTTCTTGAGTGTCTCAAAATAGTGCTAAAAATGTAGG